TTTTCTGGTTTTTCGCTTTAAAAAAAATGTGTACCCAAACTATTAAATTATAATTAATTATATCAAAATTTGTGCTATTTGTTTTTAGATGAAAATATTAACTTTAATATGATTATAATAGTTAATTACTATAGTTTGTAGTTTGAGAAAACCCATAATAAATAAAAATACCAAACTACTTTTCAATTAACATACTTCAAAAAGATACAACGGGACACAAAAAGTAGATATGCCGCAACTGTCGAAACTTGTTGAACCCGGCGAGTTGCGGCGTCGTGAATCCATCTCCGGAAGATACACAAAGAGAAGATGCCTGAAAAAAGAAACATCAAAGATGTCCTAATCGAGTGTTCGTTCCAGTGTTAGGTTTGAAGGGTAAAACCTGTTTTCTTTCCGTCTGTCCTGCCTTTCAAAAGGACATATTTTGTTAAAACTTGTGTACATTAATTCAAGTTGTAGTGACGTGGCAAATTACAAAAATGACGATTTTGGAGTCAATGTGTTGCAATGTTTGAATTAAATAAAAATGACAAAAAGTCAGTTAAGTTGGAAGACAACAACACTCTTGGGTGTGAATTTGTCATTATCAGTCAACTCGTTTTGTTTGGCGGTGTAAGTGTATGGGTTGCAATAACTACCATCAATGCCTTTCTTGCACACAAGTATATCATGACCACCACCGAATGCAAAAAGTGCTGAACTGTTTTGAGAATAAAGACAAAATTCATTACTGGTGTAATTTCCAGTCTTCCCAAACTTTTTTGGATTCAGAGTGCCACTTCTCACAAGTGAAAAGATGTAAGAACTGTTACTGTTGAGCCATTTGTTAACAGCATTAATATTACCAGTGAACACGCCGCCAAACTTGTTGTGATTTGTGTCTTCTACCAAAAAGCACAAGTTGCTTTTGTTAATAACTTTTGTATCAAACACAGACGTGTTTTCTGACCAGTCATCTTTGTCTGAGTCAAACACAACATTCCCAATCTTCATTCCTGTCAACTTCTCAAAACTGGCTTTTTCTTCTTCTTTTTCGTGTCGTCTCTTTGAGTCGATGAATTTCTCTGATTTTATAATTTGATCAATTTTATTGTTTTTTGCTTGTTTGATTCTGTTGATTTGGTCTTCAAATGGTTTTATGTCCATTTGGCACTTTTCCTCATAAAGTGCTATCTTGATATTGAATATCTTATACAACTTATTGTTGTCGCTCTCTGTTGAATACAGAGCCATCTCGCTTTTGATTTTGTTGGATGCGTTATCCAAATCAGTGACGATCTTGTTGAGTGAAGTTGTGATGTTCTTCTTTCTTTCAAATACCGCATCGAGTCTGTCGAAGTGTCCCTCTGCATTTTCAATGCGTTGATCAATGTTAAGTGACTTGTTGTCAACAAAGTTGTATTCCTTACTATTTTTGTTGAGGTCTGACACCGCCTTTGCTGCGTTAGTGCAGAGTGCTGAGAGTGCTGTTAACTCGTTTTCCATGTATGTTAATAGAGTTTATTTGTTTTCATATTTAATTTATTATAAATCTCATTTAAAATGATTATTAACTCATACATAATGATTTTTTTTTCTAATCAAAAATCAAAAATAAAATTATATTATTTTTTTATTGTCATTCAAAATAAAATCACAAGAAAATAACAAGAAAAATGTAAAATAACACATAAACAAAAAAAGACGAAAAAGCTATACATCGAAAAAGACGAGTTATTTTAAAAACGAGAAAAATGAAAAAAAAACGAAAAAACAAAAATTATTTTTTAAAAAAATCAATAAAATCAACTTTTTTCAATTGTACAGTTTGTCCATTAAATTTTCGTCTTGCAAATTAACCTTAACCCAAAGAAAAACCAGTTATTTTTTATTGTTATATTAAACTAATAAACTATACAATAATAAAAGTCAATTTTCTAAAATATTTGTTTTAATAGTATAAACCCATGTTTTTCAAAAAAATACAATTTTTGGGGGTTTAGGTTCATTTTCTTAACTGTAGTTTTATTTATCTAAAAAAGTAAATTTTCTTAATTGGATCAAGTGTTAATATTAAGTATATTCTTTTTGTACTTTTTTAAGGTGAAGAGGAAAAATAACAGCTTATTTAAAAGAAAGAAGTACAAAAAGAATATAGTAAATGAATTATATATAAAAATAATTAAACTAGAATTCAAAAATCGATAGTGTATTTATTTTATTTTTTGGTAATATGTCGGGTTTTTTCTTACTATACTTTTATCCTCTTTTTTATATCTAACAAAAATTTGAGGAAAAAGTGGCTTAAATTTACACATAAAAAATAAAAATACACCTTTTTTCAAACAAAAGTTGCTCAAATTTACAAAAGAAATAATCTTGAGTTGTTTCAAATAAAAAAATATCATAAATGCATTTCATTAAAACCCAATTCATGTTATTTTAGATTTGAAACAATTCAATTAAAAATTTGTCAAAAACAAACTATTTTAATGAAATAAAAAACATTTACATAAATAAACAATATTGACTTTTGTAAAACTTATTTTTTTAATTTCAACAAAAATCACATTGAAAACAAATTA